AGACAGCCCAAGATGGCCTCAAGACGGCCAAAGAGAAGAGGCCCCCGAAACGCTCCAAGTTGCTCCGAGAGGACCTTTAGGAGGCCCCCACGAGGCTCGAATGGATTGATTATTGTCGTGTGTTTCCATGGTGTCATCGTTCCAGACAGCCTCAGACGGCCTGAAAGGCCACCAATATTGACCGAAGACGGCTCAAGAGGCCCACCAAAAGGGCCCCAAGCAGTCCAAGAACCACAAGAAGGCCCCAAGACGGCCCAAGAGGGCATCCAAGACTGCTAAGATGACCCAAGACGGCCTCAAAGACAGTCCCAGGACGCCTCCAAGACGCATAAAATGCCCCCATGAGAGCCCATGATAGCCTCAAGATGCTTCCAAGATGGACCCAAGACGGCTCAATACGGCCTCCTCATCATCACCATCAGCAGTATCATCATCAGCCGTATCATCATCATCATCATCATCATCATCATCATCATCATCATCATCATCATCATCATCATCATCATCATCATCATCATCATCATCATCATCATCATCATCCTCATCCTCATCATCATCATCAGCATCATCATCATCATCATCAGCAACAGCAACAGCAACAGCAACAGCAGCATCATCATCATCATCATCATCCTCCTCCTCCTCCTCATCATCATCATCATCATCATCATCAGCATCATCATCATCCTCACCATCAGCAGCAGCATCATCACCATCATCAGCATCATCATCGTCCGCATCAGCAGCATCATCATCAGCATCATCATCATCATCATCATCATCATCGTCATCACCATCATCATCATCAACATCAGCATCAGCAGCACCATCATCATCATCATCATCATCATCATCATCACTGACATCATCATCCATCATCTTCATCATCATACTCCTCCTCCTCCTCCTCCTCATCATCATCATCATCATCATCATCATCATCATCGTCGTCATCGTCATCGGGGCCTTATCGTCTCGTCGCGGGCCCCTCTTAAGCCATCCTGGGTCGTTCTCGGAGCGCTCTTGACGCGTTGCTTGGGCGACCTTGGGGGCCTCCGAAGCTCTCGTTGGCACTACAGCAACATCACAGCACAACCACGGCAAACCACAGCAAACCACAACAAAACCACAACAAAGCATAACCAACCGCAGCAAAACCATAGCAAACCACAGCAAACCGCAGCAAAACCAGATTCAACTATAGCAAAACTGGGAGCATTGGGAAAGGTGTCCGCAACACTACGCTATGACACTACGCGAACCGTAGTGTCGAACCCTCTCTCACGGAGCAATGTCAAGCAAAACCCTAAGGAAAAGCAAACAGGTTATCCTGGCGAAGGGCCAACCCATCTGCTGCTGTGAGCAACGCAATTGGTGGTATCGTCTTCGGTGGAGCTCCCTATGGGGCACGAAACGTGTGAGGGGTGTGCCAACATGGGCGCGGTGGTGTCATGCGAGCGCAGCCACTGGGGCCTTCGATGGAGCTCACCATGGGTGCCGAAATGGCGGTGGTGCCACCCGATTGCAGCCATTGGGGCCTTCGGTGAAGCTCCCTACGGGGCCACGAAACGTGTGAGGGGTGTGCCGAAATGGGCGCGGTGGTGTCATGCGAGCGCAGCTACTGGGGACTTCGGTGGGGCTCTTCATGGGGCCACGAAACGTATGAGGGGTGTGCCGAAATGGATGCGTCGGTGTCGTGAAAACAAGCGTCTCGCTCGAGACGTCCACAACAAATCCTGATGCACTCATCTGCCTGGGCAACCTGGACGCGTGAAACCAAGCGTCTCGCTCGAGACATCCTCAAGACCTGGGCACGTGAAAACAAGCATTTCACTTGATCCTCTGAATTCTGGCCCCCAGGAGAAGACAATCTATAACACAAAACAAGCGTTTCGCTCGAGACATCCCAAACAGATTCTGCAAAGCAAACGTTTCGCTCGGAACATCCTTAATTTCTATTTCGCCGGCCCACCCTTTCCTGCTGTTTATCGCAAAAAGAAATTCGCTCACACACCTCAAGTCGACTCCGGGGGTAGACCCCGAAAAGAGAACCCTGGGCCAGAGCCCTTTCAGGGAACATGATCGACCCACGAACCCGGAAAGGAACATAGAAATGTAACGCATGACAGCGTTTTCAAAGACACCTGATTGGGTGACGGGCGAATGCAATGCTGAATGTATCGATCTTGATGTACCCTGCCGCAGTCTGTGCTGTGCTGCGCCGTGCTGAATTGCGATGTGCCATGCCGCGATTGTGCTCTATAGCGTCGTGGATCGAGTCCTCCTTTGCATCCGAGTCCTGACCGCACTGATCTGGATCTTAAGCTCGAGCTGCCTGAACACATAGTAGCTGCCCCAGAGCTAATTGACAGGGGGGACATGCCAGGAAGACGCGCCGCGGAACGTCCCAAAGGACGCGCCAAGCGACGTGCCATGGGACGTGCCATGGGGTCGCACCGCGGGACGTGCCAAGGGGACGCGCTACGGAACGTGCTGGGGACAAGCGTTTCGCTCGAGACATCCAGCCAAAATCCTCATGCTAGACATCCGCCTGAGCGACCTGGACACGTGAAAACAAGCATTTCGCTCAACACATCCTCAACACATTCTCATGCTAGACATCCGCCTGGGCGAACTGGACACGTGAAAACAAGTGGTTCGTTCGAGACATCCTCAACACATCTTCATGTGAGACGTCCGCCTGGGTGACCTGGGCACGTGAAAACAAGCGTTTCCCTCGAGACGTCTTCAACACCTCCTCATTCTAGACATCCGCCTGGGCGACCTGTACACGTGAAAGCAAACATCTTGCTCGAGACATCCTCAACACATCTTCATGTTAGACATCCGCCTGGGCGACCTGGACACGTGCAAACAAGCGTATCTCTCGACACATTCTCAACACATCCTCATGCTAGACATCCGCCTGGACAACCTGGACACGTGCAAACAAGCATCTCGATCGAGACTTCCTCAACACATCCTCATGATAGACATCCGCCTGGGCGACGAGGACGCGTGAAACCAAGCGTCTCGCTCGAGACATCATCAACAAATCCTGGCGCTAGACCTCTGCCTGGGCAACCTGGACGCGTGAAACCAAGCGTCTCGCTCGAGACATCCTCAAGACCTGGGCACGTGAAAACAAGCATTTCACTTGAGAGATCTTCTGAATTCTGGCACCCAGGAAAGGACAATCTATAACACAAAACAAGCGTTTCGCTCGAGACATCCTCAACAAATGCTGAAAAACAAGCGTTTCGATGGAGACATCCTCAAAAATAATTCCGCCAGCCCTGGGCGACCTCGTTATTTATCGCATAATAATTCCGCCGGCCCTAGAGCCGTCGATTCCAAGGGTAAACCTCTAAAAGATAACCCTAGGCCCCCGCCCTTTCCTGGAAAAAAGGTGCATCATCGGTCCCGACAACCAACTGCTTTGCACAAGAACACTGAGTGCAAGCACTGCTTCGGAAACACAAGATCACCTCCCCCTTTCTGCACTGCCGCTCCTGGCGGACCCTGGCAGCAAACAATTCGTCTCATGTGCCTTTCCAGGAGCCTTCTGGATGTCCAGAGGACCCACGGCGGCCATGTGGCGGCATGAGATACTTGGGCCTTCTTGAAGGGGCTCGTGGGCCGCCTCAGGGGCGTATCTTGTGCAGCCTCTCCGGCCTCCTGGGCCTTCCTGGCGCCATGGCACGCTGTCTGAGGGGGGGGGCAGCCTCGGGGTGTCTGGAGCAGTTCCGAAACTTTTCTGGCTCGAGATCGGCTCACTGGGAAATCAAGCTCGAGAAATGTCGTGCCACAGTGGGAGGGGGGCAAATGATTCGTGTGCACTACGTTTCGTTGCGTCTTTGGTGTTGCATGTCTTGGGCTTACTTCAGACCGTATCATCTTGGGGTCCGTCTTGGGGGGCTTTTGGACGATCCTGAACCGTCTTGGAGCGTCTTCGGGCAGGGTCTCCTGGTCCATCTGGGCCGTTTTGAGGCCATCTTGGGGGCTCCGAGGCAGTCTAAGGGAAAACTTGCGCAGTCGTGAGTCGCCTTGAGGATTTCCACCGAGACGCTTCGAGCCAAACACTTCACGACCACCCATCCAAACATGATCGACCCACGAACCCGGAAAGGAATATAGAAATGTTACGCATAACAACGTTTTCAAAGACATCTGATTGGGTGACGGGCAAATGCAATACTGAATGTATCGATCTTGATGTACCCTGCCGAAGTCTGTGCTGTGCTGCGCCGTGCTGAATTGCGATGTGCCATGCCGCGATTGTGCTCTATAGCGTTGTGGATCGAGTCCTCCTTTGCATCCGAGTCCTGACCGAACTGATCTGGATCTCAAGCTCGAGCTGCCTGAACACATACTAGCTGCCCCAGAGCTAATTGACAGGGGGACATGCCAGGAGGACGCGCCGCGAAACGTCCCAAGGGACGCGCCAAGCGACGTGCCAGGGGACGTACCATGGGGTCGCACCGCGGGACGTGCCAAGGGGACGCGCTGCGGAACATGCTGGGGACAAGCGTTTCGCTCGAGACATCCTGTCAAAATCCTCATGCTAGACCTCTACCTGGACAACCTGGACGCGTGAAACCAAGCGTCTCGCTCGAGACATCCTCAAGACCTGGGCACGTGAAAACAAGCTTTTCACTTGAGAGATCCTCTGAATTCTGGTCCCCAGGAGAGGACAATCTATAACACAAAACAAGCGTTTCGCTCGAGACGTCCTCAAAATTTAATTCGCCGGCCCTACGCCGCAAAATAATTTCGCCGGCCCTACAGCCGTCAGAACCGGGGGTAAGCACACTACAAGGAACCCTGGGCCCCCGCCCTTTCCGGGAAAAGCCAAACAGGCAGACCGTTGATCAGTCACGCGATATCACACGTCCCCGCCCGGCAAAAGGCGCAAAAGATCCAGCCCGCCTCCGTGGCTTGTGCGCAGGGGGGAATGCGTGCCGCAAGCTATGGAGTGCAGCGATCCTTCTTTTGGCGGGTCAGATGGGGATCGCTGCGTCTTCTGTTGGCGTGCTGGGCTGCGCGAGGCACGCCGCGTGCCCGGCGTCGGCAAGCACGAAGAAGGCGATGGCCGTGGCAGGAACAACGGACGCATGCCTGCCGACAAGATTGCCGACGATCTCGGGCACGGAGCCGTCAGCGTTGAGCTTCAGCAGCTTCCCGTTGAGGGCTACGCCTTGGGAATTTCGTTTCCCCTGGAATACTGAGTAACCAGGCGCGTCCAACGGCCCCCAGGAACCCCTCCTGTCACTCTGAAACCAAAACCCTCCATCCCCACAGGGACAACCTTCGCTGATTTGAAATCCCAATGACTCGTCAACTTCGTACGGTGTGCGGTGCTTTTACAAGATGCAGAGGGGGGTCCATCAAAGCCAGTAGGCCGCCTGGTGGCTCAATCTCACAGGGATGTTGGGAATACACAACTGTGCCTGTGCCAAGCAGCCCTGTTGCATTTATCAAGGAAGAGTCCTTCGTCGAAGTAGGAGTCAGCACGTACTCCCGAGAAATTACGCCAACGGAGCTCGGGAAAGAAACCGTCGTACTCTCGTTGCCCAGGTTGATGACAAGCACGGTGACAGCACCGTTAGAAGCGCCGTCGGAGGGCGCGGATCTCGAGGTGCAGTGAGCATATACGCGCAGCGCAAGGGTATTCTCTTCTGGAGCCGACAGCGTCGCGTCGAGGACGCGCTGACCCATGACGCTTGCCCATGTCAAAGCGGTGTAATAATCTGGGAGTGGTACACCGGTCGAGCAGTCCGCGAGGCCGTAATCCGCGCCGATGAAATCTTGGCTTAGGTCGGGCTTGTCCCCCTACAGGCGGATTTTAGACGAAATATAAAAAGTAGTCACAAACAAAGCTCCTAAATTGTCAAAATACTTTTAAAAAATCGTCTCCAAACAATGTTTTAACTATTTTTGAATATTCCTCCTGTAGAGGAAACAGACCCGACTTAAATCTTGGCGGCAGAACCCTTGGTACCCGTGCTTGGCCTTCGAACCCAAGGCGTCGGCGTACCACAGCGAGTCGCCAAAGTTTGCCCACCGCATCACGCTGTGGTCGCAGGGTGGCGAGCCGCCGTTGTGAGGCCCGATCTCCCCGGCGAAGATTGCGACGTCGGGGTTCTGGGCACGAACTGATCGATTCACCGCCACAGCGATCTGCCCAGTCCTATCAAGCATCGATGGAGATGTGAAACTATTCGACTCTACCATGATATATTCATGGTGTGTCAGGCCGTAGAGTGGCACGCCGAACTGTTGGCAATACTTGACGAAATCAGCGAGGTACGAGTCACAGTCTAGGCTCGTGTGGAAGGAGTGCCGGTCGGGGCCCAACAGTTTTGGCCGCCGGGTCGCATCGGGCCAAAGTTCCAAAGTCAGATTGTGCAGAACGAGGAAGTTATGAGCCGTTCTCTGCGGAGAGTACTTCGTGTTCTGCTCGTTGCCGAGCTCTAAGCCCCAGATGAGCTCATCCATCCCAGCATCGATGGTCCAGCGAAGGATCTGCCGAGCGTTGCTCGGGTCCCACGGATAAGGGAAGACCCCAGAATCCCGACCGCTTTCCAAACGATCGTGGCCCGTGTTCATAGACAGGCCAAAGATCATGCGGGCCGACGCGGCCTCTGTGAAGCTCAGGAGATCGCGCCATTGCGTCTCGTTTAAGCACTGCTTCGTCGGCTGCAGGGGTGGGCAGTGGGTGCCATCAAAAGCATATGTAAGGTAGTCATTGCCAGTTCCGCCGAAGCGCAGCAGTGAATAGCCTGCCTCCTGCGACTTGCCCAGAATGGCTGCCTGCCTGGCCAGCTGGTCACCAAAGCTACCCGCCACCGAAAGATTCCGTGCAAAGAACTGGCGATTCTCACTCGCGTCGATATTCCAGCAAACGAAGTTCGGTCCCGTGGTTGATCGCCATGGGCCGATACTGATACTCACATTGCACGGAGGTGGCGGTGCAGGTGGGAAAGAACCGTACGTGCCGGAGACGCAACTGGTATTCTGCCGCGAGGCATCAGGAGCGTTGCTGTTTTTCTGGAAGCATGTGCCCCCCGATCCTGGTCCACTACCTCCGTTGACTCCGCCCTCGTAGGTGAAGAATTTGCAGTTCGGATTTTGGCCACACACGTAGCAACAAACATCATGGCTTGACACGTGCTGCGGCGGCACCACGTCATTGCCCAAAAACTGAACATCCGATTGCAGTGTGCATGCGCCAGCGGAGACTGACGGAGAAGAAGGGGGCAACAATGCCAGCAGTGAGGCCAATCGAAGCTCCATCGTGAAGAACACACCTAGATGAGCCAAGCTCACCCCTTGCTTGAGCCAGTCAGTGGGCCCGATCGCACCATGCGTGCCCTCTTGTTCTGCAGACCGAGGTACGTTCAACCGAATACCTCGTGACGCCTGAGGGGAGTAGATGCTTCCCCGAACAATGCTTACACCCAGCTTCTCTAAAGAACTGGTCCTTCTGGAAGCAATTTCCCGCGGCAGCTTGTAACTCTACGACTTGCTCGATGGGACAACTCCTGAAGGCAGGGATGAGCGGTGGTGGCCAGCATGTACAATCGACAAACCCAAATCTGCTTGCTGGCCTCCAGAATCACAGACCCACTGAATTGCCTACCGTGCGGTCTGTTACCAAAGCACCCGTAGGTACATGTGTCGGAGGCCTTCTGATGCGATTGGCTCAAGTTGGAAGGTATCGCTCCCACGAGCCCTCTGAACGTAGGTCACTTGGAGCATCCATGCTTCCAAAGACTAACGTCTTCTTCCCATTCGGGAAGGGACGCACCCCCCGTCAATACTAACGTCGCAACACTTCACCCTAGACTAGCCACGCGAAGATAGTGTTTGAACGCCTTTCGGGATGTTAGAGATCACTTCTTTTCTCTTGGTGGGTATCGTCAGGGCCTCTTCAAGGCCCCCTGGGGACTTGTTGGAGGCCTCAAGGGATCTCCTGTGGGCCTCCTCGGAGCCTCTTGGAGCTTCTTGGGGCCATCTGGCTGCCAACCACGACTGCTTGCAGCGATCTTCTCACGACGTGGAAAGCGTTGGGGGGCCTGGGGGGCTCGAGGCCGTCTCGGAGCCCTATTGGGGTTAGGTCGGGCATGTCCCCCTACAGGCGGATGTTGGACGAAATTATCAAAAATACCCCGAAATGATCAAAAATAGTAGAGAATTCGTCCCTGTACTATGTCTTGCCTACTGTTGAATATTCCTCCTGTAGAGGGACGGGCCCGACTTAACCCTATTGGGGCCATCTTCAGCGATGTGGGAATCGTGAGTGGAGGGGTCGTGCATCTCTTTACTGTCTCCAGTTGTCGAGTCCAGCTCGGAGCGATCTGTTGCCGATTCTGGGAGACCCGAAGACGGCCGAAGAAACCGAGCGACGAGCTGGCTCGCAAAAGTTGCACTCCAGCAAGAACATGATCGACCCACGGACCGGAAAAGGAATATAGAAATGTAAGGCATTGCAACGTTTCAAAGACACCTGATTGGGCGACGGGCACATGCAATGCTGAATGCATCGATGATGATGTACTGTGCCGAGGGCTGTGCTGTGCTACGCCGTGCTGAACTGCGATGTACCATGCCGCGATTGTGCTCTATATAGCGTTGTGGATCGAGTCCTCCCTGGCATCCGAGTCCTCACCGAACTGATCTGGAGCGTAAGCTCGAGCTGCCTGAGCAGATGGTAGCTGCCCCAGAACTAATCGACAGAGGGAACATGCCAGGAGGACGCGCCGCGGAACGTCCCAAGGGACGCGCTAGGCGACGTGCCAGGGGACGTGCCATGGGCACGCACCGCGGGACGTGCCAAGGGGACGCGTTACGGAACGTGCCAATGGACGTGTCGAGGAACGTGCCAAGGGACGCGCCGCGCGACGTGCCAGGTGGACTCGCCACGGAACGCGCCAAGGAACGTGCCAAGATGCATAGTTGAGTGTATCGATCTTGATGTACCGTGCCGCAGTCTGTGCTGTGCTGCGCCGTGCTGAACTGCGATGTGCCATGCCGCGATTGTGCTCTATATAGCGTTGTGGATCGAGTCCTCCCTGGCATCCGAGTCCTCGACGAACTGATCTGGATCGTAAGCTCGAGCTGCCTGAGCAGATGGTAGCTGCCCCAGAACTAATCGACAGAGGGAACATGCCAAGAGGACGCGCCGCGGAACGTCCCAAGGGACGCGCCAGGCGACGTGCCAGGGGACGTGCCATGGGCACGCACCGCGGGACGTGCCAAGGGGACGCGCTACGGAACGTGCCAATGGACGTGCACCGCGCGACGTGCCAGGGGGACTCGCCACGGAACGCTCCGAGGCTGCAATGCTAAGGGTATCGATATTGATGTACCGTGGAACCGTGAAAACACGCGTTTCGCTCAAGACGTTGTCAGCACATCCTCATGCTAGACATCCGCCTGGCAACCTGGACACGTGCAAACAAGCGTCTCGCTCGAGACATCCTCAACAAATCCTCATTCTAGACATCCGCCTGGGCGACCTGGACACGTGAAAACAAGCCTCTGGTTCGAGACATCCTCAACAAATCCTCATGCCAGATATCTGTCTGGGCCACCTGGAGGCGTGAAACCAAGCGTCTCACTCGAGACATCCTCAAGACCTGGGCACGTGAAAACAAGCAATCCACTTAAGAGATCCTCAGAATTCAGGTCCCCAGGAGAGGACAATATATAACACAAAACAAGCGTTTCGCTCGAGACATCCTCAACAAATTCTGAAAAAACAAGCGTTTCGCTCGAGACATCCTCAATTTTGAATTCGCTGGTCCTACGCGACCTCGTCATTTATCGCAAAAGAAATTCGCCGGCCCTACAGCCGTCAAAACGAGGGGGAAACCTACTAAAAGAGAACCCTGGGCCTACGCCCTGTATGGGAAAAACACAGGAAGTCGAAGAATAACAAAAACCCAAAGGAAACCAGTCAGCATCGAAGGCCAGTCGATTTGCACGCTGTGCGACGGTACGAAACAGATCACAAGACCGCCCCGAGTTCAACTCCAATTGGGGAGCAGTTCAAAGCCGGGTTTGAGGTACCAGTACCGACCAAGTCGGGCCCAAGTCGGCCTTCCAAATTGGTAGCATGATCGACCCACGAACCAGGACGGGGATTGAGCATTGCGAGGCATGGAACCGTTTCTGAGGACCTCCTTGCAGACGCAACTGGGCGATGCCAGGGGGGCATGCCCGGGGGACGCGCCGCGGAACGTCCCACGGGACCCGCCAGCGGACATGCCAGGGGACGCGCCACGGGGGCGCACCGCGGGACGTGCCAGGGGATGCGCCGCGCGACGTGCCAGGGGGACTCGCCACGGGACGCGCCGCGGAGCGTGCGAGGGAACGCGCCTGGCGACGCCCCAGGGGACGTGCCAGGGAACGCGTCAGGGAACGTGCCACGGGACGTTGCACGGGCCCGCGCTCCCAGGCGAGCCCCTGATTCTGCTCAAACATGATGGACCCACGAACCCGGAAAGGGATAAAGACATGTGCAGCATGGTCACGTTTTCACGATACCCAACTGGGCGACATCTCACGAAACATCCCACGAGACACCCCGCGAAACATCCCACGAGACACCTCACGAAACATTCCACGAGACACCTCACGAAACATTCCACGAGACACCCCGTGAAACATTCCACGAGACACCCCACGAACAGGCAACCACTCAACCAGACACG